TTTTATTTATTTTAGTGTATTTAGTACAAGGTCTACAGGGTCTCACTATGTAGATCCGACTCGCAGTGATTCTCCTGTTTTCATCCTTCCAAGCGCTGAGATTACAAGCATGCCCCACCACACCCAGTCTCAGTTGCCATCTCAGCACGCCCCAAGGGGCAGGGCCTCCACGATAGGCCAGGGATGGAAGCCCAGCTACTACGCTTTGCCTAAAGATAGTCTGCTGAGCTATCTAGCCAGCCCTTTCTATCTTTTTAGATACAAGTTGTAGGTTTAGGTCATTCTAACGAGGTTTTTCACTCACATCAGTGTCTAGCACAGACAGAGGACAGCTGTGTCAGACATAAGCATTCTGTTCATTACAAGATCCCAGTCGATGTCATCCCTGTCACTAAGCCAATCAAAAAACAACTGCAGACTTAAGAATTTCCAACTAATTTTTAAAAACATGACCTTTATGATAGGAACATTTAAAACTATGAACCCATTCATCCTCTTAAAATATCATCTAGTCTGTTCTTGTATACATTTTATTAATTTCTTTTTTCAATATTTTTTATTTGAAAATATAATGCTGCTGTAGGCTTAATTCTTTTAATACTGGCCCTTATTCATTCCTAATAAGTTTAAGCTTAAGTATCCAAGGATAATGAAAGAAAAGTTTTCTTCCTTATATGTATATAAAGACTTTTTCTTATTTTCATTAGAAAATAAAGCTGTAATGGAAAGTGGTTCTGCATTTACCACTACTGAGCAAGGGCCCAGAGAGTTTGTGTAGTGAAATCCTGGGTTTTCTCAGGAAACACATTCAGATAGCAGAAATTACCATTACAAAGTCATTTTGTTCTGCAGATGAGAATCCATTTCTCTTACTTCAAGAAAGACTAACAGATGTAAAGTCTAGAGCAATACTTACTAATTTTTTATGTCCTTGGGTGACTTTCAGGTAATCTTTGAACCCCTGAAACTAGCAGAATTGTTTGTATTTTTCCACACTTTAGAAGAGAGTCCATTCTGATAATCAGAAGAAGAGGAAAACTGATTTTAAAAAGATTAATAAGACCTCATTATAGGAAGAAGGCAGAGGAGACAGATTTGAGTCTATAAATCTTAAGGAAGATAGTTGATTAGGTTAGAAGTTAATTCTATTGAAATAGTGAGTTTTTAAAGAAACTGACAAAGGTTTCTTGGAAGAACAAGTAATGAACCTGTAGGAATTACTAACCCTCTTTTCCAAGAAATAATATGTACCAAAAAAAGTACAAGGAGATTCATAAAAGCATAGCTCTCTAGCTCTTTCTAGAGGTAAGGCAGTGAGAGTGCCAGGAGGTAAGAAGAGCAAGCTAGTCTTCCTGCCCCTCTGTCTTCCCCCAGCAAGGTCACGAAGAATCCTAGAGGAGCCAGGTCCCTGCCCCCTCTGCGGCTGCTAGTGTGTGCTCCTCTTCTCTCCAGTTCTATTGTGATAGTGCTGGGAAATGTGGGTCACTTAATATGTAGCTCTGTTAAATATAGTTGTGTTTGTTCAGTGTTAGCTTGCCTCACACTCTCAAAAGAAATTCAACATTCATTTCAAAGGAAATACTCATTTTTATAAAGCATTGATATTTGAAGAGGGGGATGTTTGTATCATTAAATTAAGATGTAAAAAGAAGCAAAATACTGAGTCAAACCCATCCTCCATCTTTGTATACAAATCTCTTATTGAATTAATTATAACCTGGAGTTACCAGGACTCTGGTAGCTCCTATACTCTGTAGCATGCCCAAAGTAGAGTATCAAGTGTCACTGAGTTTCTTTTGATGATGATTGATGACAAGAGCTAATATTTATTGATACTTTGTAAAAGGATGTGACTTATCTTTGTTCATGTTGTGTGCTCACAACCCTAGGACATAGGTGCAGTTAATATTCTCATTTAACAGATGAAGAAACAGAAACGGATGCTGTGCCCAACTTCAAGCTATACACATTTAGAAGTGACAGAGTGGGGTACCATCCCTAGGCATCTGGCCGAGAGGCTACACTCAATGACTATTTTGCCTTTTCTGCACTTTCACTTTGACTAAAATCATTGAATAAAGTAATTGTCTAAAGACTACAGGAACAATCTGGGAGAAGTTCGAATCTTGTGTGGAACTGAAAAACTAAATGAGACTTAAGCGGTTTAAGTGATTATCAGAGACTAAAGGTTCACCTGACATCAGCAGAGTGGAGTTCTTAGAAGTCTTTTATTAGTGGATATCTCTCTCTCTCTCTCTCTCTCTCTCTCTCTCTCTCTCTCTCTCTCTCTCTCATTTTAGTACAAGGTCTCACTACACAGATTGGACTTGTAATGATCTGCCTGTGTTCAGCCTCCCAAGTGCTGGGATTACAAATATGCAGCACCATGCCCAGTCTCTGTTGCTGTCTCAGCATGCCCTGGGCAGGCCAGGATTGAATCCCAGCCACTACATCTACATAAGCAGGCACTTTAATCTGCTGAGCTATTTGGCCAGCCCTTTCTTTCTCTCTTTAATAAAGTGTTCCAAAGATATAGTAGGGATAAACTCGCCATCTGTTGTATGGCTTTGGTTCTCTTAGAAAAATGTGCTCACCTTTGCATGTCCTGGATTTCCCAGAATGGATTGTCACAGGAAAGGCCACCCCTACTGCAGGCTGTCAGTGGGCTTTGTTGAGGAGCTGGCTTCTTTTAGGTGCATTTCTCCATTATGTAGTGCTACTGCCTGCCTTTTTCTGTCTCTTTTTACAAATGACACCCTAAAAGGCTGTGTCACTGCTTATGAAAGACACTTGTTAGTTTTGAAGGCTATTCATGGTGGCCTCAACATTGTGTCAGCAGTCCCCATTTTACCGGCTGTCTGTGTTCATTTGGATGTCCTGTCCTCCTTACTTGATTATGCACAACAAAGGTGACACAGCCAGATTTTCTCAAATGCTCACCAGAAAAGACTGCATCAAAACCCCTTGAAATTCTACAAAAAGGCAGATTACCAAGTCCCATCCCAAATTTTCCAGATCACCAACTTGTATAGAAGTAACTACAGTACAAAGTTTTAAAAATGCAATAGAATGAATAAGTTTTTCTTTGTTGCTGTGGTAATGGTTTTGTAGTGATGGAAATTGAACCCAGGCCTATCTGCTTGCTAGACAGGCACTCTATCACTGAGCTACATCCCCAGCCCTGCAAATAAGTTTCTTCAAGGTAGAAGCAGCTACTTCCAGAGAGCAGAAGTCAGAGAATCCTCTGTTTTGTTTAATGCACGGCATATATTTGGATGGTCATTCAGCACACAGAAAGGCATGTAGTTGTCATTTCCTTCACCAGCTCACTGGGATAATTTCTAGAACTTTCATAATTTATAGAAATGAAGGCATATTATTTAATGGCTACTGTTCTTTAAAATGGGGATAGTTTTACTTTCCATAAATTTCCTTCTACCCTGGGCTCTCAGGGTGCTTCTGTTTAGGAGATTGAACCATATATACTGAGCTGAATAATAACATGCATGCAGCTTCCTCCTTGGTGTTGGTGCAGAGCTCATCTCAGGCACTAGTGACACTTACGCTTCTTTTTGTTTTGTTTTGTTTTTTTAAATAGCTTTTCTCATTGTGATAGTGTACAATGTGACTATGAGGAAAATGCCTCAAAATAAGTAAAAAGAAATCGATTGACAAGTTTGAACAGGAAAAATAACACTCAGTAACCACTGTTTGTCAGGTACTATGCCATGCTAATTTGAGAGCAGTTAAGTAGATGTACTATTCCAGGGTCAAGAAAATAGAGATAGTAGATCATCAGTGACCTGGTGGCTTTTATCAGCAAGCATCATGGTCATTTACTGACAGTGATTAAAGATTTGATACATTGGTTCTGGAAGGTGCCAGCTAAAATACAACATAGTGTCATACATTATGGAGTGTACAGTCTTTTGAGGAATGACATTCACACAGATAACCAGCAAGGAAGTGAAGGGCAATAACATTTATACCTACTGCGCCCTGCACTTCATTGTACTTGCCAGGCAGGAGTGTGCCACTGAGCTGTATTCCTGCCCCTGCACTTTTAATATGTTATCATTTAACCTTCATTGCAAAGTGGCTACTCATAAATGAGGAAAGTAGCTCAGGGGAAGCACAGTAAGGGACAGGGCTTGGGTCTGCACTCGTGTGTGTGTGTGTGTGTGTGTGTGTGTGTGTGTGTTCGTGTGTTCATTCATGGCAGCTCAAATGACAAGATTCTGGTCTGACAGAAAATGAGGAGTACTGTGCCTGTGTAGTTAAGAGTCAGCAGCACCTAGAAGTGCTGGCAGTAGAAGCAGAGGATCAGAAAAGTATGTAAGAATGGGCCGTTTCCCTGAAGCACGTGCACCAGAAAGATTGTGCAGGTCTCAAGTTTTAGCTGGGAGTGAGGAGATGTGAAGTGCTGAGTTCAAGAGTTATCTGTCTTTAGAATTTAATTTTAGATGGACAAAAACAACAGAAACCTTTTCCCTTTTAATACTCTTGGACTTTAAAAACAGATGACATATTAAATGCCTGAGCCAGGTGTCGAAGTGCACACCTGTAATCCCGGCTATCTGAGAGGCCAAGGTGGGAGGATCACACATTTAAAGCCTAGCTGAGCAGTTTAGCTGTTTACTACCAAAATAAAAGCCTGCTTTTGTTTTGGGACAGGGTTTCGCTATGCAGTTCAGGCTGACCTAGAAGTCATAGTGATCCTCCTGCTTCAGCCTCCTTCCTGAATGCTGGGATTACAGGCATACATCACCATGTCCAGCTAAAGCCATTTTTAAGAAATGATTTGTTTGTAATGCATTTTTTATTGTGGTTACAAAGGTTCAGGTAACTTTAAAATGAAAATGCTGATAGCATAAAAGTGTAAATTTCTTCAAATTGAGCCAACACAAATGAAAATTAGAATATGAATTTCATTTTCAAGTAATTCATGTTATGATATGCAGAATTAATGGAGGGTCTTTGTTTGTTATTTCACTGTTTAGGAAATACCAGAAAGGAACCAGGGTCCGGCTGCGGCTGTTAGACCTTGAGCTCACTTCCAGGTTCCTGGGAGCAACCACAGACACAACTATCCTAGAGGCGGATGCAGTTCTCTTAGGACTCCTGGACAGCAGAGATTCAAGATCTAAAGAGGAACGTACTGAAAAATAAATAAACTTTGCTTAGTGCATTCACTCCTCCTTTGGGGAGCCCAGCTTTGCAACAAGAATGAAACTAGAAAATTGTGACTAATGGTTGAAGGGGCTGTAATAAATAAACGGTGTAATTACAGATCTGGGTAGAATTTTCTTTAGCTTCCCCTAGCCCAATTTTCCTTTGGTTGGGATAATGTGGAGTAAACTGTGCTGTCACAGTCTGTCACTGTGCTCCAAGTGCATCTTCAGCTTCCTGCACAGGTTTTTTGCAGCTCTCCTCTATCCTGGTACATCACTTGCAGTCCTCTGGGTGCAGCCTTGGTGAACACGTGCAGCAGAATCTTTAGCTACCTTCAACCTAGAGAAATTCCTCGAAGCCCAATAGCCAGTTCAAATATCTGTTTCTTTAATTTTCTATTGTTATATGTTTATTGTAAAAATTACATTCATTTGGGGGAAGTGGTACCTTGGTTTATGAACTTATTTGGTTGCATGTAGAACTGTGAAACAAATTGTGACCAGAATTGTGGAAAGCATTAAGTTCATGAACTGAGGCCCCTCTGTACTAATGAAAAAACCAATTGGGAGTATTTATTACAGCTACCCTGTTGCTGTTACACATTAATCATACTATCTGTTGTTAATTCCCTATGAAGTAACAATTTATTTCCAAAATTTAGTAATTTATTATCTCATGATTCAGGGCTGTCACCAACCCTCATCCAAGTTGTCTGCCATATCCTGAGGTCTGGCTGGGGAAGCAGCCCCCTAACTCACCTACATGTTCGGTAGGCTTCAGTTCCCCAAGGCCTTTCAGACTCAGGGCTTCAGTTCCTTGCTGCTGCTGGCTTTGACCGGAAGTGCTCATCAGTTCCTTGCTGTGTGAGCCTCCTCAAATGACATCTTACTTCATCAGAACTGGGGACAGAGACAGGAAGAGGCCCATCTTATGAAACCTAATCAAAGAGGTGGTGCTCTCCCATACTGCAATATTCTGTTGGTTAAAATCAAATCATTGAAAGGGTAGTGCAAAGCCATGAACAGGAAGTGAGGACCACTGGCAATTATTAGGAGCTGTCTACCACCATAGGTAGCAAGCCAGTGATTTTCTGCTCAGCTTTTTCATCTGTGGAGCAGAGTAGTAAGAAAGATCTGGGCCTAATACAGATCACAAGATCCTGGACTTGTGGCAGGTGTCATGATTTGGCCAGGCTTTGGGAAGGAGTCTCACAGGATGGGGTGAGTGAGTTTTACAGATAGGAGGGATGTGACTAGTTATGACCAAGAGGATAACTGTGATGGATTGAATGATCCAGCCTAACACTTCATCCTCATGTAGCCTTTGCTCTGGTTCCATAGTACATAGAGTAGGTCCCTTGTCATTGTGGGACTTAATTTCTAAAGTTATAAAAAGTTCCAGAAAGGCTTAGATGAATCTGTGAATGGTAAATCCAGACTTGAGTATTAAAGTAAGCCAGGAAGTTTGAAATACATTCCAAAACTTCTGAGGCCAACATTAGTGGAGGACTGTGAAACATTGAAGCCACAGGCTGGTTAGACTGTCCAATTGACCCAGTATTGCATTTCTTATGTTCATATCATTTGGTTTTTAAAGATAAATACACATTATAGTATGAATTCCTAAGGGAAACATGTAGTCTATTTAAAAAGACTATAACTTTTCCCCCATGTTTCTTTTAAACTAATTACAAAGAACTCAAAGATATCTTGGCCCAAAGGAGATAGAACAAGGAAAATTTTGTGAAGGGTTGTCTTACTTAAAATTCTCAGACCTGTGTTCTACATGTGGGGGATGGAAAACACAGTTTTAAGTACAGAAGGTTAATCTCCAGGTAAGGAATTATATGGACCCTGAAATCATCATATGAACAGATGAAATCTTTTGAAACCAAAAAGTGGCTCAGATTACTACCATTTGCTTCACAAAATTGCCTGGCTGAACAAACAATCCAACTGTTTTACCCTACTCTATAAATCCCAAATCATTATGGTTTGGGAAAAATGCACAAGAGGCTATGATAGCAATAATTAGTTAAAATGAATGAATAAAAGAAAGCAAGATATTGTGTTTTTTCCAGGCAACATTTAAATACAGAAGCTTTCATTTTAGATGTAGTAAATACCACAGAAGCCAGTAGATAAAAATGATGTCCTGGCTCCCAAAACCATACTGAAAGGAATGGGAATTCTACCAGGAAGGCAGCTGGGACAACGATTGTGGGGATACTGGGAGCCCTCTTGGTTGGAAATAATGGTATGTCTGAGTTATGTTGCTACATGACAATCTTAGATGTATTTAGTGATGTCCAATATTCCAGTAAATTTCCAAAATAGAAGCACAAAATAGAGGACAATTTAAAGTAATCCCATGCCTATAATTGTGTTTGTTTTTTTTTTTTAAGTCTGTTCCATTAGTCTTTTCAGTCTCCGTAACACTTCTTTTCCCATTTATACTCTGCTGCAGGTGTTGCCAAAATTTGAAATAAAAAAGTCGTGGAAAATCTGCAAGGTATTATCATCAACCTCCATGTATTCTAATTTAAATGCTACTTGATAGGCATGGAGCAAGAATGAGAAAAACCAGAAAAGATAGTATTTCACAGAGAACAAAAAGGAAAGTGAATATAACATTGAGCCTTCTACTAAGCCAAAAATTAAAGCCTTAGTTCTGTGAGATGAATTAGGTCTACTGTGGCTATCTTCTGAACAACTTTCCAAGACTGTGTATGGCAGTGGGAAGCAGTGTAGGGTTGATGGGGGCTGGATGGCCACTTGAGAAGATTAGTGATACGCAAGAAGTCTACAAAGCTTCTGTGATGAGGGCCAGTCAGGTAGCTCAGTGGATTAAAGAGCCTGCTTAGGCAGAGTGCAGCAACCAGGGTTCGATTCCCAGCTGCTGTGCCGGCCCCACCCCCAGGCCACCCTGAGATGACTATTGAGACTGGGCGTGGTGGTGGCACATACTTGTAATCCCAGCATTTGGAAGGCTGAAAATAGGAGTCACTATGAGTCCAAGCTATATGTGAGACCCTGTAAACCCTGTACTAAAAAAATAAAAAAGCTTCTGTGATGATTAAAGAGAGACATACCAAGGTCTCCTGCAGCTAAACTTCCAGCTGATTTTATGAGGCTTGCCCATCCCACAGGATGAGGATTGGTTTTAACTGCTCCTTCCATCCTGCCCCAAGCAGAGAGACATCTGCTTTCCCCAGGGTGTTTCCTCAACAAGGCCTTAAGAATATCTAGGTAGCTCCAAGCCAAGCCCAGGAGAAAGTTAGCCATCCTCCCCTACCTATGGAAGGGCCTGGTCGTCAGGTTCATTTCCTACTCTAGTGCCATTCTGCTTCCTGTGAAAGATACATGGACATCCACAGAAGCATAGCCCTTGTCTAGAGCCTGAGCATGACTTGCCTATTAGCACAAAACACTCATCTTCACATCTATTGAACAAAAGTATACAGAGCATGGGGTCGTTTTTCCATGTTCTCTGCCCCACAGCCTCATCAGTGGGATCCTGCCTCTGTCTACCTTCAACACAAAATCTGTGCACAGCCCAGTTGCCCCCATCCTTTATGCTATTTCTACTATCAACTTCCTTCCTGTCTTCATTTCGCTGTCTATAAAATTCCTTCTTCCCCAGTGTAGATTAGCCTGAGTGTCTTAAGATAACTGTAGGGCTATATAAAAAGTAGATTTTTTTTCTTTTGCTATTTCTAAGGATATTTTAACATAGTAATTTTTAGGAGAGCATTTCATTGGTCAAGAACAGTAGAAACTCATGACTGATTAGAAGGAGATTTTCAGTACCCAGGGGATATGTAAATGTCTACCCAACCAAGTCTTGCCTATAAAACTCTAAAGTGCATTATTCATTCTCTTGACCTTAAACATTTCCTGCTTTTAAAAATAGAGAATACTAAACAGGATTTAGAGTTTTCCTGATGACTCAGGGCCACCATTGTGGAAAATAATTCCATCATGACGTGGTTTCCCAGGGATTATAAAGGTGGGCAGAGTTGCTATTGCCTAGCAAGTGGCCCGATAGCCAGTCTTTGAAGTTTTTACTTGTTACTCTCAACCTCCCCGACCACCAACTGATTCTTTATACTCATGCCAGGGTACCTGCTTATAGTAACCCCTGTCTGTGTCTAACTGGTTACTCAAACTAACTGAAGGAGTTTTTGCCTATGTACTAAATGACTCTCAATAACCGCCTTTCAGTTCTTCTGTTTTCTTTAAACACTTTTCCATCCCTTTTCTTCTGTTGTCGACTACCATTTTTTATTGGTATCAATATGCTTTTCTGTTTCTACTTTGCATGTTTGTTTTATAGTAGTCTGGAAGAGAATCTGAAGACAATTTTGTAGAAGTAAGGAAGCACGCATGAATTTTCAGACCTCTGCCTTCTATTTTAAAGCCTTTCATCACCTTTTTCCAGACCCATAGTGTGGTTTCAGACATTAGAAGTTGTTAATTTAGTTTCAGAGATAGGCTGGTTTAAAAAAAATTAAAACTAATAAGATAACTCAAACATTTTAAAAATAGACTTGAGTAATGCAATCGCCTAGACCTTGAGTTTTTAAATAAATGAGTTGACAGGTTTTGAATTAATAGATTATCTCTTCTTTGAGGTACGTAGTAAACTAAGTTAAACCAGATTAGTTCTTTACAGACCCATCTCCAAGGTAGTTATGATAAACTTTCTTAATACACTATGGAAGCCTCAAAAATGGGGATTGGGCTTAGTTATTTTTCTGTTTTCTCTTGTTCCAATATAGTGTGAGAAACAGAAAATACTCATCAGTATTAGTTGAATATACTCTTAACAAAGTAATTGGCCATCGTTCTATAAGTTCTTTGCCATCAGAGATATAAAATTCTCTGCAAACTCTGTGATCTTCGGGACATTTTTAATGTTGCCATTGCTGGACAATCTCCAGTCCAGGATTGGATTACTCTAGTACCTCTCCTCTGAGGCCCCCTGTGCCTCAGCTCCTTACTCTGCCTCCACCCATGCTTTCTGAGTAAGTGATTTTTCACCTGTTTTTGTTTTTGGAGGCTTTAAACGGAAGCTAAAAGGTGAGCTTCCATTGGCGGATTTTACATAGGCAGTTT